TTAGTTTCTTTTTTATAATTATTTTTATAATTATATATAATATTTTATTAATGTATATAATATATTTATAAATTATATATATAATATATATAATATATTATAATATATTTATAGATAATTTTATATAATATTTCATATATACCTCTCTATAATATTTAATATAATATTTAACTATAATATTTAATATAATAGCTTTTATATCATTTTCCATGATTTTTTATCTACCAACTAGCTAGGTCAAACTTGCTATGTTATGTTAATGAGAATTTCGTTTAAATCTTCTTTTTATCGTTGATTTTAATTTGAATAAGTTACAAAAAGTTGAATAACAAATTAGATTATTCGTGAACATATACATAGGTGTAATATTCATTGATAGAAAGAATTTTCAAAAGAAATGTGATGACTTTACTTACTCTATTAATATAAAATGAATGTTTCTGTAGATAGAAAGGGAAAAAGTTTCTTTTGGGTTTCTTCAAACCATATAATAATAATAAATGACATTAACATTCTGCTAAGGTAGCAATTCCTATCAACTCTTGGACCCCCATCAGATCAACGTTGCTCGACATATTTCGATTCTACGAATCTTGAATGGAATCGAATCCGCGTATTCTAATCCGAGAATCGTGTTAGACATGTAAATCGTAAATAGAAGGGAAAGGGCTCCTTCAGATAAGCTGTGCCCGATACGATCGATAAAGTTTCTTTGCTTCGTGTGTCTCTATGCACATATATGTGGGTGTTTCTTAGTAACATCGCATTTCCACAAAATGTCAGGTTAAACAATATATAAGAAAACTATATATATATATATATAGTTTTATTATAATTAAATATTATATTAAATATTACAGTTAAATATTATATATATATAACATAGGATTATACACTATTTATATATAGGTTTTAAAAATTATATATATATATTATATATTAGGTATATATTATATAAATATTATATAATTTTATATATTTTTTATTATATTATTTTATTTTTTATTTAAATATAATATTATATAATAATATAAATTTTAATTTATATTTTTAATAATATTAATAATATTATATATATTATATAAATATTATATTATATTTTTAATAATATTAATAATATTATATAATATATAAATATTATATATATTATAGTATATATTATATAATTATAAATATTATTATATATTATATAATTAAATATTCTATAAACATATTTTGTTATTTAAACGATAGATTGAAATTCGTGAAAATTATTAACATTATATAATTACCAAATAATAATAAACTTACAATTAAATATTTTATTTTCTAATGTTATATATTATGTAAAAAACTTGACGTGTATGTCACTATTAAAATGTTTTATGTTAAATCTTTGTAAAAGGATCTCCCGTTCGAAATACGATCTAAACGTAAAGGTGCACATTTTCTTCAAAAAAAAAAAAAAAAGAAGGTAAAATAACGAAGAAAGCTAAAGTTCTCCAGAGACACGTTTTCCCAAAAGTTTCTTGAAAAGTAACAATGAAAACTTTTGTATACCTACATCTGCGTTCAGCTTCTCTCGTTCTACAAGCAAGACCAATTCTCAAGGGGTTGGCAAGGATATCCAAAAGTGAAGAAGAGGGTGGAGGAACTTGTTTCTGTTCGGTCTTGCATACCTTGCCATATCTCACTCGACCATTAAACTTTATTAGCTGATTTGCCTAAATGCTCTTTTTGTACTATCAAAACAAAAATTGAATAAACTAAAAAAAAAAACAAACAAACAAACAAACAACCTAATTTTGTATCTATCAAAAGGTATTTTAATTCGATTAATTAAAAATATCTCTTTTGTTTTTTTCTATGAAAAAGAATAAATTGATCTTAAACGAAACACTCTGGGGTAATTCCTATTTACTTCTGTTAATCGAATGACCTTCGATAGGAGGAGAAAATATCGAAATCGATATAACGTGGTTATCGATTTTGCTCCAATTGATTTCATTAAATTTTAAAACGTGATGTTAAATTCTCTTAGAATTCAATCGTATTTTCGTGCATGAGATAAACACGAAGCAAACATTGTGTGTGTGTCTGTGTGTGTGTGTGTGTGTGTATAATATGAGTACTGGTATTCCTATTGATTTGAAATTATATAAAATTCTGTATTTATAGGATTCAATTAAGATTAGGAAGTTTAAGATTAGTTTTCACAGTTTAACAAGGAATTGACAGTAAAATGTGGAAGATTAATGAAGTAGAAGAATTTATGTTTGCAAGAAATTCGAATCCTTTGTTAGAAAGAAATGGCATATCGGTCAGGGACGTGTCTAGCGTATTACGAGACATCGTTTTCCTGATTTCATTAGGGTGAATATCGAATTAGGTTGAGGAATGATGTACCGAATATGTAGATACACTTTTTGCATCTTTTTTTTCTTAAACTTTTTTTTTTTAATATATGTGAGGTGAATTTTTGTTATCCTCTGATGATCGTTCACGGAGAAGATTTATCAGAAATTTCTAAGTAGTTACGTAGCAACTATAAATATTCCAAATGGGTGATAAATATTTCAGTTTAAAGGAAAAAAGGCGGAAGAAGTTTCGTCCATTAAGTAGGCCAAAGAAAGAAAAGGAAAGGAATAAACGAAGGAGAATAAGAAGAGAAGAGGAAAAAAGGGATATAAAATGGGAAAAGGATGAGAAAAAGGGAAAATAAGGGAAATATAAAAACAAAAAAAAAAACAAAAGGAAACGAGAAAAAAAGATAGTAAGAATAAAAGAAAGAAAGAGGAACAGGCCGGAAGGTTTTATCGAACTGGTAGAAAACGTCATTTGGAAAAAGGGGTAGTTAGAAAAGGAGAAAAACATTTTTGCTTATACATGCGAGTCAAATCTTAAAGTTATAGTAAGGGGGGAGGGGAGGACTAGTTTCCGGAATTGTTAAACTAACCAAATGGAAATAATTTATTTACTGGAAATAAATCGAATAAATTGAAATAATTTATTTTTCTTCTGCAACAATTATTGATAATTGGAAAAATAAAAAAGGGAAAATCAAAAAAGAAAGTGAATAAAAATTGGTCATACCGTTTTGGTATCTTATTTTATTTTATTTTTTTTTTTTTTAAGATTTAAATCGAATAAAAATTGAAATAATTTATTTTTCTTTTACAACGATTATTTTTAATTGAAAAAATAAAGAAGGAAAGTAATAAAAGAAAGTGAATACAAATTGGTCATATCGTTTTGGTATCTTATTTTATTTTATTTTTTTAAGATTTAAATCGAATAAATATTGAAATAATTTATTTTTCTTTTACAACGATTATTGTTAATTGAAAAAATAAAGAACAAAAATAAAAAAAGAAAATGAATAAAAATTGATCGTATTATTTTAGAATCTTATTTTATTTTTTTTTTTTTTTAAGATTTCAATCGAATAAAAATTGAAATAATTTATTTATTTTTTTTTTTTTTTTTCATTTTCAATTATCACCGATCGTAAAAGAAAACAGTAATAAAAGCACGTAATGAAATGGTTTTAATTTATTTTGATTAAAAATGTATGACATTTATAAGATCGATTATTTCTTTACCTTCGAACGACTCTGCCATTTACGTAAGAATTTAATTACGCCGATTGGAATCTCTCAAGAGAGATTCGCTATTGATACCGAACGATCATTTTAACGGTACAATGTCGAAATTTCCGATTTAATTCCCCGTTATCGGTAGACTAAGTAAGACGAAGAACTTTTACTGAGCGACCCTTCACGAATTAATACCTCGTAAAGACGATTTCGTGTCTTTTACGTATTTTTTCTCTCTTATGGCCAAACGATTCCTTTTCGTGTTTACTTATTTCAATTCGTAAAAAAAAAAAAAAAAGAAATAAATAAATAAAAAAGGGAACAAAAGTATTTTACTTTTACTTATATTCCTAGGCACGAAATCAAAATTATCCAACGGAATACCGTAATTTCAACGTCTACGATTTTATAATCTTCGTGTTTAGAAGTACTTTTAAGACATATACATGTATATTCTGAAAAATAAAAAAATAAAAAATCAATAAAAAGAAAAAGTATTCTCTAGACAGATTGATAGATTATAATTTATGATACATACCCACGTGTATCCTATTAAATGAGACCTTAATCTTAAATCAACCTCAATATCAAATGTCGAGTTTATAACAGAAAATGGTGAATATTCTGAATAAAATATATATATATATATATATTTCTCTTGCTGTATAATTTATATAATTATGCCAAATTATACAGAAATCTACTAATTTTGCAAATTAAGATATAATTCATTAAACATAATCTAAAACAACGTTTACATTATATTAAGTGCAATGTGATTAATTCTATGCTTTGATATTAAATTCATTGTATTAATATTGCAGTTCGTTTTATGTCAAATTATATTATTTGATAATTATCTAAAAGATGGATCAAAGTAATTTTATAATAATGCAAAACCATTTCGAATAATAGCAGTATGTAAATAAATATTAAATTTCTTAAAATAAAAATATTGAATGTTAATTATTTAAAATTCATTATACAATTAAAAATCACAGTTATATTATCATTATATACATTGTTGGTATATTATTTAATTATTATTTAGAGATTGTTAAGTCTCTAGGTACTGTAAATTTTTTAATAGATGGAACTGTATTACAATTCAATTATTTCACGTTATTTTTTTTCAGATTTACATATGGCATAACTAACCTTACTTTTTCTATTTTTTTCCTGTATTATTATTTTATGTGTTGTTATAATTTACTAAATAGTTTAGAAATTATATTAAATCAACATTTTATAACAAATGCATCCTTAGTATTCATCAAAATTATAATTAAAAATAATACAAAAATGTATTAATTATTCGTACAATTTAGCCTAATTATTTTACTACTCTGATAATAATTATTTGTATAATTTTCAAAAAAATATAGGAAACACACAGAAATGAGATTTACCTTTCGCATTGTCGTAACGTCCACGATGCAATGATCCATAATGAGACCATGAAGACCAATAAGACGGTACCCGGGCAAATGGTCATAAGGGTCTTCAATACGAAACGTGTGTTGAAGTTAATACGATTCAAGGCCCCAATGCTGCGAGATGATGCATCGGTGAAAAGCTTCGAATGTAGTAACATCACTCGACAGATGAGGTAGAGTCTAAGGAACATCGGTAGCGAAAGGGTTACGTCATATGGCACCCATTTGGAACCTATATCACCACCCTTATTCGCCAACTTGGTCGTCCATAGGAAATAATACTCCCCGGGTATCGGATGGATCGCACAGATCAACAATTCCAACGAAATTTGGGATATCCTTTGCCAGGTCATCGCGATCCTCCAATCGTCAGCGCAGTTATCGATCATGAACAACTGCCATTAACATGAAACAAAAAAAACCAGAGAAAGCAAATATTACGTGAGGATCTGACATATCAGCGATATTAAGTTTGATCGATGTGTGTTTTATCTATCTATCTATCTATCTATCTATGGCATCCTATTATCTATCACGATACTATAATGTTTTTAGTTATTATGTTTTTTTAATAACTTTCTGTTTTTTTTTCTTTTTTCAGAGATCATCATCATCATCAAAATAAAAAAAAAGAAGATTTATACAACTTGGTATGTTTCTTTCTTTTTCAAATAATTTCAGTTTTATTTTTAAATATTTTCTTTTAGACAATCAATCATTTTCAAACTAACGTAAGTGATTTATTAACTATGTTTTTAATCATTTTCTTTTTTCAGAGATCATCAAAATAAAAAAAAAAGAAGATTTATACAACTCTTGACATATGTTTCTTCCTTTTGTTTTTTCTTTTTAAAATAATTTCAGGTTTTTATAAATGTATTTTTTTTTTTTGTAGACAATCAATCATTTAGACATCAACTAAGTGATCGGTATTTATTGTTAAATATCGTGAAATTAATCTAACGTTTCGGTTAAAAATTGACACAGTTTTTTTTTTTAATTTTTTTTTGATATAACAATGAGATTTATCAAAATTTGTTATTTTATTTATACATTTGTTCAATCTGTTTCAAAAATAAATGATCAATATATTATATAGTTAAATATCGAGTACGTTGCATTGATATTTAATCCTATAATGCAATTCTGATACCTTTTATAAATACTGACCATTTATTTAAAGTATTGATAAATTTTGTTTTCATTTTATTTTATTTAACCAAATAATTTTTATTATAATAATTGTTGTTTCTTTTATAAAATAACGATACAAAAATGGTAGTATTTTAAAATACTAATCGTATATATTTAATTACTCCAGTTATAACTTGTATTGACATTTTAATATGCATTTTAAAAATTTCGATTCTTTTTTTTTTTTTTTTTTTTAAGTAATATAAATAATAATTCGATTCTAAATATCATTCAAATAATTTAGCGATATTTCATAGCACGTATTATAAATTTGTTCTCATTCGTTCTAAATATGATTCAAATAATTTAGTGATATTTTTCATAGCACGTATTAGAAATTGTTCTCATTCGTCGGTCTAAAAAAAATATTTTTGGTTTCCATTTTTTTTGGTCTTTTTTCCTATACTTTGTTTTTTTTTCTTTTTCCATTTTTATATTTATTCTCTCGAATATTGTTCACACACGAACGAATAAACGATACCATAATATACGTACTGCAAAACTCGCTTATATTCGATGAGATAAAATTGTGGTGTGTTCGTTCGTGCTCACGCGATTTAATATATCCATGTTGGTCCGTCGATATTTGTCCGCAGAAAATGCCGCATCACGAAGAAGAAGAAGAAGAGTGTGACGACGATCATCTCTTGTGCCAACTAACTTGGTGCATCACCCCCCCCCCCAATTTTTTTTCTTTATCTCGAGCGAGAAATTGATGATAAGTATACGTGTAAATATTATCGAGTGCATAAAAAAGGTGAAAATTTTATTCTAAACTTTCATTTCTTTGTTTCTTTTTTTTTTATTAAATCATTTTCTTCTTTCCTCGTTCGATATCCTTTTTATTTGCTATTTTATTTATATATAATATAATAAATTATCTGTAGTGATATAATTATTTATTACGCAACAAGACTGATTGTAAAACAGAAATCAATTTAATGATGTATTTTTTGCATACAAATTAATTTCATAAATTAAATTTATAATTAATATGCAAATTGTTACATAATTAATTATATAAATTATTTCTTAATTATAAAATTAATTATCAAATTAATTTGCATAATTATTTTATATTAATTATTGGCGCGTATATTATAATTATAGTTTCAAGGATAGTAATTAAGTTTTTCTTTTCTTTTTGTTTATGATTAATTAAAAGAATTTTGTTCATATTTAGTATACAAGGTGTTTTAAATAATCGTGAACAAGTTAAATTTAATTCATTCAATTTCTCAGTTATATCTATTGTTGTTGTTGATCTAAACGTGATACATCTTTAAAATTGATATTATAAAAATAAATTTTTTTTGACACTGACATTTATTTAACATATTCTTTTCGTAAACGTCACATAATTTTGTTTTTCCTTACGTTGAATTATTACCCTTACAGTAATAACAAACCACAATATGACAAAAATGCTGACATTGTTTTATCTATTTCTGATGTGACTTTAAAAAAATCTACTCGAACGAAATACAAGAAGGTTCTAAATCATGTCGGAAGGTTCTATTGCTAGAATTTCAAATGATTTTTAGATGAAGAATAAGATTAGATATCGGTAAACGTGATTTATGAAATTTCCTTTCTAAAAATGATGTGTTCTTTTCGAATAGTCTAATATATTCACATATTATATAATATATATATATATTATTATTAACTTCTTAGGCACTACACACCATTATAGTGGCTTTTGCGGATGCTAACTTCCAGTACGAGGCGCAACTATAGTAGCCCTTGCTACAACTTCTCGCAGATATAACATCTTTTATAAAATATATTATACCTAATAGTATTATTAATTATTAAAGTAAATAGTTAAAGTTAAAGTATATGCAAATAAAGTTATTATACATAAATATGTCATATCTATAACATATTTTAAAATATATGTATATAACATCTTTTATAAAATATATTATACCTATAATTGTATTATTAATTATTAAAGTAAATAGTTAAAGTTAAAGTATTTGCAAATAAAGTTATTATACATAAATATGTCATATCTATAACATATTTTAAAATATATGTATATATATAATATCTTTTATAAAATATATTATACCTAATTGTATTATTAATTATTAAAGTAAATTGTTAAAATTAAAATATATACAAATAAAGTTATTATACATAAATATGTTATATACATACATACATTTATTAATATACATATTAATGTATATTAATAAATAAATAGTTATTACACATATTATATATATATATATATTACATAAAGTTAAAATATTTGTAAGAAAAATTATAATTTATATAAATATATGTAAATGTTTATATAACATATACACATATACACGTAAAAAGACAAAATGTTAATGCTATTAACCATTTCATTTATCATGATACTCGATAACGATCAGTATGATGTTCAAGCAAGAAATCAGAACTGACTTAACGATGATGTTTTTCCAAATGCTTTTTGTGAAATGGATTCCTGGGCTCATCTACCAGGAACCATTTCTAGCATAACACAATGCTTACGAATACTTTTCGTGATTCTTGAAATATGCGTTTTCTCGTCTTTTGCATATGATTATCATAATACACCGTGGATGCTTCATTTTTCGTAAAGTTGCATGGCAAGCATAGATAAGTACCAATATTTATACGTTCACGCATATGCATATACAACACATATATAAACACACCTTCTCTCTTTTTCTATCTCTTTTATCTTTTATCTTTTTTCTTTTATGTTATTTTTTTCTACTGCATTTCTTCTTTTCCGACATTTCTCCAGAAATTTTCGCGAATAGGTATGTATACATATATATATATA